CGCTCATAGTATTATGCGTTCAAATTCTCGAAAGCTAATAGCTTCTTTACTATGCTCTCTCTTTATGTCGATCGATTCAGATAAAAATCTCCGAAGTCTTTCTTTTTCTCGCGATATTCCTAGAGTAAAACTGTACAAAAGCTCTACGAAATTGGCGATATTTTTCACGGATCTGGTTCGAGTCTCGGCTCTTGAGGAAGGTGCGCATGTAGAAAAAGTACGCCAACACAGTTCATCCTGCTAAATGGTTATCAATTCTCTATAAGTTCTATATTGTATATAAATTATAGAATATCTAAACGTTTCTTTTTTTTCGATGTCCTGTAAAATTGTACAATAGAGTTACAAATAAAGATATAAAGCCACACTTTACGTATAATCTGATGCAGTCTTTGCTAATGTTACATAATAACGTGCAAAAGAACTAACAGTTAGACTATTTAAGAGGCTATTTAAGAATTTTAATTGATACTGGAAGCATAAAACTGTTCAGCTAGCTTTACACAAGATATTGGTCTTCTTCTTTATGAAATCGTCAAATTATGATTATGATACATTTCTACATTATCACCAGCATCGAATCTAATCTTATTTATCGTGATACTCTTGAGAAACTGTTAATCCATTGTCTTAACTCGATCGCGGCGCAGAACTGCGTCCACCAATATTGTTCCTCTCCCTCCAATCGATTCCCGTAAAAGCTGTCTACATATTGAACAGTCGATACAACGACGGCGGATTAGTCTGAAATTAAGCACACGTTAACAATCACTCTTCTTGCTAAAATCACAATTCTCTTTTCAATCGCATATCTTGATTATGACATAGACCAGCACGGGAGTCAGATCGTCGGCAGCAGGTATGCCTCTTTCCGACGCCATGGAGAAAAGATTCATGATGGTAGTCGCGCAACGAAATACACACTGCAACTTATCCCTAGGAGTCTTATACGCCGATATCACAGCCAATTCAGCCTGCGCCCATGACCAGGGGCATTCGTAATGATAAACTTTTGAAATGCGTAGGTCCCTGTGATTTGGAGTTACGACCTTTGCCAACTTATTGATGTGACCGTGAAAAAGCTGGTCCTTATATACATCTCCATCTTCATTTAGATAGAGCGCATTGTGGTATACCCGTGCCATGACGGTTCTTTCCACCACGACTCTCGCCAAATCTAACTGGTTGGCGCTTGCCGCTGAAAGTAAGAAGTAAGTTCAGACGTCTCTGAGCACTCCGCTAAGATCAATTGCGAGATAAATAATTATATTCATGTACATTGCCAAATCGGATCGTTGTCCATTTCCACGTGGACCTTCCCTAGAAAATTATCCACGAGATCCTGTTTCTCGTCAGCTAGCGTAAGCTTTTTAAACTCTTCGCAGAAACGCAGGAGGAAAGCCTTTTTTTCCAAAAATACCCTCACACAAACGGATACAAGATGATTATTGATAGCATCCCAATCGCACTTAACTCGCACGCATAATCTGAAAAATATTATTATTAAACGGTTTACATCTTACATTTAAACATCTTACATTTACTTATACATTACATACAAAGATGATATTTATATATAAACAGTACCTATCTAAGTGAGCTAATGTCGACAGCAATCCCTGACGACATCTGATTAAATATGCGATATAAGGAGATCGCTTTTGATAATCCTCTCGAAGTGATTTGAAGAGCTTTCTACATCCATCGTCATTAAATAGACGCACGCAACGTAAAGTTTCATGAAGATGAGCTAGTTAGACTTAGCTAACTAAGACTTAGCTCAGCTTCTGTTTTGCCGTTTGCTATGACAAAACCCTCCTGCTGATGTTCCCCATCAAGCCTCACGTTCTCTTCCTCCGCCTGAGTCTCCATTCGTGCGAAGATCACGTTGATCATCTGCGTGAGAGTCGCACAGGCTGTTGTTTGATTCACCAGGTTGCGCGACGACAAGTAAACGTTGTAAACAGTACGAATTGTTAACAGTACCGTACCCTCGTATACCTCCACATGCTGGCTTGTCATTACAGTCAGCAGAGCTTTAATAATCTGCAGCTGCACACTCTCATCGGTCTGTGGACCGGTGAACCAACCGCAAATTGTCTCGATAATGCGCACAATCAGCAGCTTGTTAGGCTCCGTTGAATCAGGCACATTGCCAGTGAGATGGCTATATGCGATTAACTTCTGCAGGCAGTCCAGTGCTGCGTCACCACAATCCGTAGTGACTAGCTCTGACATGCTGACTCAAATGGCAAGAAGTACTTCTCAGCGGTAATAACATTTGAATCGCTCTTAATTGGACTGTGGCCCAATCGGGCGTTTGAGATAACCTCTTCACCCTGCACAGCTGGTGTACATCTTTGATCTCGTTACGGAGGTCCTCTGCAAGATGGAAATGTGAGTGACAAACTTAATTAGCAACTATCGCTTATAGCTACAGGCTTATTAGCCTGTATATTTATTTATTTCAGTATAAAATAATTTTTAAAACGTTCATATTAATTCTGATTGCAGACGGACCTTCGGGAACACTAGCGCCTTCTTCTTTTAACATGAATAACTAAAAATCTATATTTTGGCTAATTACCGAGTTTATAAATATTTAATTAAAATTATCTGGGTGACTCACAAACCTTTTTAATCACTTTTCATAACTCTTCATACAAAATACAAACGATTCCGTATAAAAACTTTTATTAATTTATCTATTTCGGCTAAATGCATGGTGTAAAAATAATATTAATTAATTACAATTAAACGAATGACTCACAAACCTTTTCAATTGCACTTCAAAAGTCTTCATACGAAATACAAACAATTTCATATGGTAGATTCTTTCCCGGACATTCATTTCCGGTCAAATACATACGAATAGATAGTGTTTCGTGTTCAATGTGGATAACATGAATATTCACACTGCAGTTTCGTATAAACTTTATTTATACTTAATACAGAATGGCTGTTGTTCGTGAGACTTTCGTGGATCGACTGACTGCGCTCCGTACACAAGAGCCGGTCTCTTTATATGTATGCCGACAGAGAAAATAAAGAAAGCATTCAAGCATAACAAATAATCGCCGATTAGGCATCATAGGTACGACTTTGTGTCATAACATTTTGCGTTATCTTACAATCGATCCATCTTCCCCTCGTTGAGTGGCATCGATCAACTAATTCGGAACGCATGTATTATACATTAGAACTGATTTTTGAAATTGCAAATGTTGGTAGAGGTCATATATATATACATTTGATTTCGCTGTCGTGACAAAGAAATGCATTATTGTATATCGCTTAGGAGTAGACACTCTGAATCGTCCCGATCATGAATCAGCGGACAACAACGCCTAGAGGTGACTCTCTGATTTATTCTAATCTTAATATAACGTATTTGATACATTAAGTCTGGGCATTGACGCTTAAGAGCAGATGCCCTGAGTCGTCCTACCCATGAGTCGATAGACAACAACGCCTAGGAGTTAACACTCTGAGTTGTCTGCTCATGGATTTACTGACGACAACGCCTAGAGACTGATGCTCTGTATTGCCCTAGACCTCCGGAGGTGTACGCACGTGGGTTTTATTAATGTTGTAATTGATATGTTAATATATTGAAAGGTGGAGTCATTTGAAATGTTGACACATCCCGTTATTAATGTACGCATTATTTGTATGTTGTAATAACCTTGCAGCAAGCAGTTATGTGTGCTCCCTTTTGATTGGCAGCGGGCACAAACATTTTGCAGCTCTTTTGAGCTCTCCAGACTTCGTTTTGACGGTGGCGGCTCGTACTATTCCGTCTTTACCTGGAGGAGTCGTTATGACCCTGCCTAAGACCCACTGTGTACAGGGTAGATTTTTGTCCTTTACAAGAACCACGGCTCCAACTTTGAGCTTTGGTCCTTCCTTGGTCCATTTATTTCGGGTTTGGAGCTCCTTTAAGTACTCCAGACTCCATCGTTTCCAAAAGTCCTGTCGCACCTTTGAGATATGTTGCCAGGTGGACAGTCTATTTGCTAGAACAGCGGACAAATCGCCCTCCGGGAGGGCTGTAAGTGGCTTTCCGATCAGATAATGTGCGAGGGACAACACGAGTAAGTCGTTCGGGTCAGATGATAGCGATGTAATAGGCCTAGAGTTCAGAATGCCTTCGATTTCGATGGCAAATGTGTTCAGCTCCTCGAATGTAAATAGCAAATCTCCTACGATACGCTTAAAATGGTGTTTAAAGAGTTTGACCGTGGATTCCCATAAACCTCTAAAGTGCGGCGCCATTGGAAGTATAAAATGCCACGTTATGTGGTATTCAATTGCAAAGTCAGATACTCGATTTTGGTGACTTTTAGAATTAAATAAAGCGTACATTTCCTTCAACTGGTTATTCGCGCCCACGAAGTTTGTACCATTGTCCGAATAGATGTGCTCCGGCTGCCCTCGTCTCGCGATAAACCTCCGTAAAGCCGCGAGAAAACCCTCCGTTGATAGATCGCTAACAACTTCGAGATGGACCGCCTTTATTGACATGCAAATAAATACGCATATACAAACCTTTACGCGTCCTCGATTACGATGTTTTTTCTCTTTCACGTAGAACGGCCCGCAGAAGTCTATGCCGATGATGGTAAATGGAATTGCTGGGCAGACGCGAACCGACGGAAGATTTCCTAATTTGTATTCGACAGTATTAGCATTAAATTGAAAATAACGCGTGCAAGCACGGACGACCTTCCGTACCTGATTGTGACCATCTAATATCCAGTATTTTTGTCGAAGGACGTATAAAGTAGTTTGAATGCCGGCGTGATGTTGTTTTTCGTGAACTTCACGAATAATTCGATCGGTCAAACTGTTTCGGCTTGGTAGTAGAATAGAATGTTTGCTCGTAAATGTCAATTTTGAACCTTGAAGGCGTCCTCCTACACGAATGAGGCCGTCATCGTCTAAAAAGGGGGTCAGATTCAATATTCTACTATTGGTTATAAAGCTCTTATCCTTTAGCTGTCTAATTTTTTTAGAAAACTGCGTAATTTGAATTTAATAGTCGTATTTCGGCTTCATTGATTTCTTTCACGCGTAGCGAACCGGAATGTGTGTTATTAGGCCGAAAACGTAAACAAAAGGCGAGAACTCGAAGTAACTTCGAATATGAAGAGCATCTTTCAAATAATTCAAGGTCATAACCTGTCGTGGCCAGACACATATTATTTCTTAACTCGGGAACTTCGGTTTTCTGTACGAATTCGTTAGGCCATTTACTATCGTTTATGTTTAACCACATGGGCCCAGATGACCATGTGCGATTTTGTAAAAACGCGTATGGTGATTGACCTCGTGATATTGCGTCAGCCGGATTATCCTTGGATCTAACGTGTCGCCACTCCACTCCTTTCGTAAGACCTTGGATTTCCGCGACGCGAGAAGCAACAAAAGTATTAAGCAAATGTGGTGACGTTTTAAGCCAATGTAACACGACGGTCGAATCGCACCAAAAAATTATTTTATTGGGTATAATACTTAACGCGTCTTTCACCTCGTGGTGAAGCCTTGCTAACAATAGTGCACCGCAAAGCTCCAGTCGAGGTATCGTAATGGTCTTTAACGGCACGACGCGGGATTTAGCACATAATAATTTGATAGTCGTGTTTCCGCGTCCATCTCCCGAACGAACGTACATACACGCGCCGTAACCGATATTACTAGCGTCACAGAAACCGTGGAGTTGAACATTTTGATAGTCATCTAATAATAATTTTCGGTCAAAAGAAATTTAATTTATCACTTCAAATTGTCGAGCGAACTCTAGCCAGATTGCGTGTATGTCTTGTGGAACGGATTCGTCCCACTTTGCTTGACATCGCCACAAATCCTGCATTAGTTTTTTAGCGTATAACACGACGGGACTTAATAATTTAAACCCAACGGATCGAATATCTTTGAAAGCTCCGATAATATATTTCGTTTCGTCAACCGTTCTATCTTAATATTTCGAGCATAATAGCGTATTTGATCGTCTTGCGCGTTCCACGTTATGCCGAGTGTTTTTAAGGAACGATCTTTATCGAATATAAAGTTTGCGTGTAATGCACTAGTCGCGAGGTCATTAATGATGCGTTCATCATTAGACGCCCATTGCCTTATGGTGAAGCCACCACGCGAGAGTAACGCAATTAACTCATTTCTGATTGCTCGCGCGGGCTTCGATAATGCTATCTGCTCCGGACAACAGATCATCTACGTGTGGGGGTTGTAGGTTAGGATTAGGTTAAGGTGCGTCGTTCCCACAAATAACGAAATGTTCAATTGGGTATAATCTCGCTAGGTTTATTCATGCTCTATGTACAAAATAATTATATCTTCTATATGGATGTGTAGATGGTCGTGTGTGTTGGTGTAAGTTATATGTGCATTACTGTTCTTTAAATAATTGCTTGATGATGGATTTCTTCTTCTCAAAGATAATCTCTCGCGGGACCACCAGGTCTTTCGGAGTGGACGGAATGGGACTCAGTCGGGTCTGCAGGAATCGTGGTCGTGTAGGCGTCTTGAAAATGTGGTCTGTCTGAGTTGCCACAGAGTTCTCCGGATCGACAGGATGAAGAGGGACACGTGGGCGTCGGACACGTGGAGCTCGTGGTGGAACGTCGATTGGATAGAGTTTCCACGGTAGGAAGGTTTCTATCCTGGAGATTGGTATAGAGTCCCTCGCCTGGATCTCAGGAGCTGGTATGTTCTCGGGAGCCGGAACAGAGATGGGTACGAGCTTCCAAGGTAGGAAGGTTTCTACCTTAGACGTTAGGATCGGATCCCGCGTCGTAGCCTCAGGAACAGGAGCTGGTGTAGGGCTCGGTAGGACTGGAGTCGGACTTGGAATGGACGATTTGATTTCCACCGATTTCTGTGTTGCTGGGTCAGTATGACCCCACTTGGCAATCGGGGTGAATCTCCACTTCGTCTTGGACTTGCTCTGCTGGAAACGTCTCCTAGGAGGTAGAGTTTCTACCTTGGTGATCAGGATGCGATCCTTCGTCTTGATCACAGGAACAGGAGTCGGGTTCACAGGAACAGGAGCTGGAGCTGAGGCCGTAGTAAGAGGAGGCAGCGTCTTGATCTCAGGAGCCGGAGTCGGGTTCACAGGAGGAGGCAGCGCCTTGGTCTCAGGAGCCGGATATGGAGTCGCCCGACGGGCTGGGTCGCGACGACCCCGGAAATCTTTCCGCGGCAGGGTGTCGGTTGACTCTTCACCGTAGTTATCGCCCTGCCAAGCAGGTAATTACGAAGGCCCAGAGTAGAGCAACACTTCGTACCAAAAAGAGAATTATGTCAGGGGCCCCGATAGGTAGCACGCCCTGACTGGCGCTCTCGAAAATCGCTGGGGGGCCCCGCTGAGCTGCCCTTTATATAGGGATCAATGTCGAACCTTACTTACGAGAGAGATACGCTGCGCAGCGGTGCGCGCCGAACTATCCCGCCGATCGATACTCAAGCCGCGCGCCGATCGATATTATGCTACTATCCGTGCTGCGCGCCGCGCGCCTCCCGTCATACTATTCGTGTAGCGTATGTACGGTCGCGCGCACGTGGCGGACAGCTGACCGATGTAGATGTTCCTTAAGAATTTCTGCCGCTCTAGGAAACACATGACGTTCGTCATCGGCTAATTTGTGAAGGACGCGAGTTGCGAGAAACGGCGAGGATGAGACACCGAATGTGAGTGTATTGAATCGAAGTATTTGAATTTTATTGTTCTTACGCCAAAGAATGCGTTGAAACCGTTTGTCATCCGGGTGTAGTAGCACTTGTAAGTACATTTTTTCAATGTCAGCACTGATGACAAATCTATATGTGCGGAAACAAATTAAGTGAAAGAATAATTTATTTTGGATCGTAGGACCCACCATAAGTATATCGTTGAGAGAGATGTTATTACTCGTTTTTGCTGACGCATCAAATATTATTCGCATCTTTGTAGTATTGCTGGATTCTTTAATTATGGCGTGATGGGGCATGTAATAACCGTCTTCGTCGACATCTTCTATTAATTACGGACATATAATTTAATTTTAAGTATTCATCGACGATTCGCGTGTATTCGTTCCTCAAAATCTGATTGGCGTTGAACTTTCGCTCCAACGTTAATAAGCGTTTAAATGCAACTGTTCGCGAGTCGCCGAGACGCTTGTTCGTTTCGCGAAACGGTAAACGAACCGTATAGCGTCCGAGATTGTCGCGAGAGACTGTGTTCAAAAAATGTGTTTCACATCGATCTTCCTCCTTTGATCTCAGTTTATTCGTCGTAATCTCCTCGAGCATCCAGAACTTATTTAATTGCGACTCTAATTTTGTTAAATAGCATGTTTCATTTTTTAATGATAATTGCGGTGCCACACTCCCTGCAACCGCTCAGCCCAAGCGTGTTTTTTGCAAATATAAGTCATGCTTTTTAATGTGATAAATTAATTTGTCCGATAGATAATAATGATAATGTCGCGCCGGAACCTATCAACAAGTCAACGGCGCGCGGTAAATGAAATTCTGGATCCGCCAATCGGATATTTCGAGGTAATTTAATTGCGCTTTGCGGAAAAACCTCGGAAGGAATCAAATCTGCCACGGCTGGTATCGTCAAGCATGTCAAGCTCTTGCTAAAATCGTCGTGCGTTGATTGTATGATGATCTGTACTAAGCCTTTCGATACAGTATTCATTGCGTTAATTGCGCCGAATGTGGAATGATTGACAAATGTAACTTCTTTATGATACGTTCGGAAATGAAG